TCGGTCAGTTAAAAAATTCACAACTGTGGTCAAACGGGGTTGAGGGGGGAAAATCAAAATCGATTAAGGCTCTTACACTACTGTCTGGTACGATGACGACGAAGACCACGTTTTTGATGAAGGAAAAGTAACCGTCGCATCGGCCTAAAGGGATCGTGTTTGTGCGTGTGTGTGTGTTCAGATCTTTCCACATCTACTTAACATCCTCATTTTTTTATGTATACTCTTAATTTTTGATTGTCTACAACCCTTTTCCCGTTCATTAGTGGCTCAATTATCCACTCTGAAAGCAGATCTTTATCCTATTATTGTGGCACGGCGAAAGCTTATTGTTTTGTTTTTTCTATAATGAATCAACAGTATGCGATACGGTCGAGAGCATGAGAGAGAGAACCAAATATTAACCTTTATTTCTAAATTGACCCCCCCCCCTCTTAATGGAACTTGGGGGAAGAAAATCGATCATTTGTTATCGTCATTTCTCACACGTGACGTGCAGTCTGATACTCCGTCCTATTGCCATTCGTTTATGCCGTTTGCACAGCCTTGATCTACCCTCGGAAATTCCGGATCACTCTTTCCTCGATCGGTATAGCCCGGATTTTGATCTGGATATATCTAGCGTGCCCCGCTTGAATCGAATTCGTCCGGAGGATATACGCAAACACCACTCTCGTCTATTGGATCAGGCCTGCGCGTATGCCGAGTTCAATGGATTTGTTTTTAACCGTGCGGATTATGAAGCCAGATTCGGCGTCTCATCTCATTAATTTGAGCGTATTGTTATTATCCCCTCATATTCAGTGCTCATTGATCCTTGGAAGATAATGCATTTATTTTTTAAACTGTTCTTAATCTATATCTTCAATAAATTTAGGATCTTCTTTGTTGTATGTCAGTTTTTAGTTTGGCCGTGTCTATTGCTTACCGGTTTTAGAACCGACTGCTCGGCGGCAGTGATAAACTGCAAATCTTCAAGTCTGGTCGTCTTGGGCGGACACAGAAAACGCAGTGGGGGCTGAAGCAGTTTATTTCTATGTAAACCGCGGTTCCACAGTAAAATGTAATCAATCAATAAACCATAAATTCAGGCAGACTTACGACTAGGTTACTTGATGCCAGTGTACAGTAAATTTCTAACGTGGCGGTACAGAATAATGTGTGATACAGTCAAACCAAAACAAAAGTTTACAGTTATAAACACAGAAAAACAGAACAGTAGTAAGAAGTCACTGAATAATTAATCGTTCAACTTTGCTATTCTGTCATTGTGGCGCAGTCGATGGATATTGTCTTTCATAACCAGACTACTTGAATATTTATAGTAGTCAAACTGCAAATGCTGAAACGCGTTCTTTTCGGAAAATTCACACCGGTATTCCACCCAATTTTGACTTCCTTTTGGAGCATGCTACCCAGCAGATTGACAATCGTTAAACTCACAACTGCGCAAATCTTTCATCCTCAATGAACAGGCAATTGAATTAGCTTGCTTCAGACTCAGTTCCAGATCTGCATCTATAGAATGATTTTTCATGAGTAAACTCAACAGCAATACGATAGCCTAAATCAGTTCTTGTTGCGCTTAAACACTATTTGATTAATGCTCGCATTGGGTTTGTGCACTCGTCACTCTGTTTGTCTTGGAAAGCCTCGGTTTCGTGCTAGGTTTGATCACACAGAATCTTTTTTTGTATATCGTAAGCGTGGCAAGCAGCAATGTGTTCACAATGGAAGATTGTTTTTAAACGAAAAACGTGAATACCAAACAAAGACCACCACACAGGTAGCCATATCAACGGCTTTTGTTTTCATTTCGTTCATACAGATAGACTCAGTATTGCATGTGAACAATAGGGGATTTGGTTCAAATTCATGGAAAGAATTCTTCGTCTATAGATCAAATAAAGCGTGAACCAAAAATTTGGGGAACACTGTACAACTGTCTCGACTTGGTTGGGTTTCATCAGCACTACGAATCTGTCCTCTCAACCGGGGATCGAACTCGGGACCCCACAGATTCAGTAGTAGGACTGAAGGAAAACAAACCGATTTCAAAACGTTCGATGCGTATTAGCTCGGCTGATAGCTGGAGATGATCGTGTATACACTTACCGTGGATATATGTATATAATACCAACCCGCTCCGAAGACCATCAACAGTCCCTTATGTTAGTGAACAAACGACTGAATTAATCAAAACATGACCCTTTAAAAAGAACCAAAAATATTTTTGTGTAATTCCTCTGATTTGAGAGTAAGCACTCTAAAACAATGTATGGGACTACCGAATAATAAAAACTCCCAAATCCCCCTCAGTTGTAACACATGGTAATAACCGATTTCTGAGGATATGTGAAATGTGAACTCGTGTGACACAGTTTTACAATGCAAAACACTGTTCGCCGAGGGAGTTTCTTCCGATGTATCGCGTCAGGCCGTCTCATATATCAGGCGATCTGAATGACCGATTGCAGCTCAGTTTATGACCAAGACAGGGACGAGCGAGAGAGTAAATGTAACAAGGCTAGCGGTGGACGTCATGGGAATGAGAGGACAAAGGTCAAATGAAACGGCAGAGTGATGGGCTGATTGAGATGGTGTTGAAAGCTGTGAGCTAAGGCGAGAGGGTGGGATGGAATGACGTAAGATACGCTCAACACTGTCATGCAAGTCATAGCATGTGATGTAATCGAGAGGGGACAGTGGCGATCAAAATAATTAGCTTTAAAAACTCTTAGAGGTGAATGTTTATGCTCTACTTTAGACACAATCAATCCGGAGTCCACTTCAGGGTCACAACAGTGACTGAACTGTTACGATTGTATTTCCAACTGTCCAGTCTCGGACCCGTGGTCCACTAGCAAAGTAGAATACCCGTACGCAGGGTAGGATAGATTTACTATGACTCATTCACAATCAAGCGTATGTTAAACAAGGCAGCAATAGAACTAACAGCTAATCAAGATGGGGCCCATGTCGGCCGGCATTATGGACATGGACATGTGCGTGGGTTGATTGATCTGAATAGATATCAATCGATAACATCTGTGGAACGAGGAGATTGTGTAGTAGCTGAATGTTCATCCCCTATAGGGAGAATTAAAGCCGCTTCTTGACTGAGAATAACGATGCGCAGGTTGGCAGAACGTGCGCACTTAAATCGCAGGCACGTATGCAACATGGACAAGCTTCTTCCACTTCCATAGTTCGAGATTGAAAATGCGAATGGGAATCGCCTCAGCCAAGGTATGGTGTGAATTGTTTGGAAAGTGTTTAATTTTTTCACACAATGCCCCCTATCGATGAGATGACCGAGAACCGAGCTACAAATGCACCAGATCGCTGCTGCAAGACAGGGCTCAGCAATTCAATTCAGTTTTACCAACCAACCGTGCACTTTCGTGTACCAGTTTTGGTCAGTCTTGTTGCTTCGCACTTGGATAAAAGTGCAGAGGATGATTGGAATGTTGAGAACCGAGTCACAGAAAAGATAGACAATTCTGATGGACTAAGGTTATATGGATAATGAGTAGATGCACGAATATCAGTGTTTGTAACCCTCAACTCAATCACTCAGTGTCTCTAGTTATCGGTTACGATGATCCCACTGTCCCCATCCGGGGAGCCTAATGCGACCCTACTTGACCGAGGCTATTGCTTATGGTCTCTATTCCAGATCTTAATTTGCCCGTTTTCCATCCATTTCCTGCCCCGGTAAACGTAGCGCTCGTGGTCATCTATTTGGTTGCATGCGCAATACATGTCCCAGCCAGCGTAGTCTTTGGCGCCTACTTTGGAAATAGTGCTCAGCAATGCGTTTTGTTAATCGCCTAGTTTTCCAAGCCGATTTCCGGGGCTATAACCGGGTTGGTGGACTACCGGCAGTTCACCTAAGGGAGTTGGCCAAAAAACTTGATTCCAAATCAACCAAAAAAGGCGTACGAACCACACCCTCCTCGGTGTGGCATTGGGCACCTTGGATATTTGACCCTGTCCTAAGGGCGTATGATCCGATGAACTGGACACCGGCCCCCAATGGATTGCGGCTTTCACACGCCGCTTTGATTAGCCAAATGCTCCGATTGTGGATTCCTCAAGAAAAAATTCACCTGCCTTGTCCTGGGCAACCTGGCAGTATTCGGTGGCCCACATGCAAATCATGGAACGTTTTTCTTGTTTTCATAAAGATTATTGTACTATGATTTCTTTGGCACAGTCTGGCGTCAGACGTGTGTGAAATATAATATACATATGTGGGTGATCAGGATGCTGCATTATTTGATTCACCAAAACCAAGACTCCCCGAATTCGACAATACTGCGTGGTGTTCCACATAAGTCCTGGAATGTAATCCCTTCATCATCTTGGTGGCTATGCATTGTGAACGTTCAAGAATGTCACGACCTCGTCGCACAGTATTAGTGCACATAAAAAGATATAAAACGAACGATTTGGACTGATGAAGTAACCTATCTTTTGTTTGCTGGGACATGAAGAGCCGAGATGTAGTGAG